CGTTTCAACATCTATATATAGTGGTTCCAATTCAAGAATCCTTCAAGCACGTCGACCAATTCCACAAGCGCACAAAAGAGTTCAATGAATAATAGTCAGCAAACAAACATCTCCCAATGAAAGGTGGTCGAGAACAACAAATTGCATGTTTGCGAAACCAATAAAGTCATGCTTGAAACAACGAGGCGGCCATCAAATTTTCTGCACCTCCCGCCTCCCTCACTGTCTGCTGGCAAAACCAAAGACAACTTTGGAAGGAAATGCAAAATTAATGGAATATTGCCAAGTAAAACACCTCCCACAACCGCCCAAAACTGCGCGTCAGCGCCCGAGCCTTTGATTTGCTAGCCCTCCCGGCAAGGCGTCCCCTGACGAACCACTGCACTGGAAAAATGTCGTCCATCCGTCGGAAGTTCGGAGATCTGCCAAGATCCCGTAAAATCCCTTATACTACCACCACCCTCCAACAGGTCACCACCTGCGACTTTTAAGTCTGCAAAAGCCACCAAAGGAGAGCTGTTGGAAGGTCCTGGTAGAAACGCTCTGTTTTCCGAAAATCCTCCAAATGTTTAAAGATGTTTAAAGCCTTTGCACCACTTCAGCAGCCCAACTGCTTCCCGTGGCGTGCTCCGAGCGTTCGCTGGGACATCGCTCCAACGAGCGCCCTACGTCCACCACAAACAGAACATCACTTGTCGCAGCGAGGATTTGGGGAGGGCGCGTGGCGCTCCGAACCTTGCTCACGGGAGACGCGGAGACGGTACCCAGCTGTGTCTACGAAGTCCGGCGTCGAATCCGAGGAGTCTTTGGAAACATGAGGAAACTGATCGAAGCTTTTACTCAATGACATTGACGATGGAGCTGATTCTTGCCAGGTTGACGTTGACAGTCTCAAACCCCTGGCCTGAAGGAATGTTTCCGGCACCTGAGGGCTCTTGCAAGCTGCAGCATGGAACTCTCATCCACTCCTATAATAACAAATATCCCAATGACAATATAAGACTGAGATGCTTTGGGAATGTCATGGGAATCCAAACCAACACAATAGATGTTAGTGGAAAAATAATCCATCATCTGGAACACTCTCTGCATAATATATCCAATGAATATGCGAACAAAAGGGACTGCAGCGCAGTCATGCGAATACACACCAAGATCGCTACCCCCCACTCTTTCATCTCAGGGTGCACGCTTTGCTTTTCCCCCGGCAAGCTCAGTGATCATTGTCTAAAGCAACCGATGTTGCCAGAAGCACAGAGCACGGAGAAAGCATCGTTTTTTTTGTTGTTGTCAAGTTGTGGTTGTTGGTCGTTGGCTCTCTGATTAGCTAGTATTCATGGCAATGGATTCTTTCAGAATTCAGTATAAATTCAGTAATCGCAAAAGAACAATATCTCAGCATGAATCCTGGTGTTGCAACAGGATCCTTTGGAGATGGCTCAACTTCTAATGCACCAAATTTGCTGACTCAGCACAAACCACAGCGATGCGCTTCAACGAACGCCCTGCGCTCAGCAAGCCGAGAACTGCAAAGGACCGCAGCCCAGCGATCGTCAGCACCAAAAAACACATCGACATCAATGTACCACATACATCCACATACCACTGACAATGAATCCATTGTGTACAACGTGCCTTTCCTGTGGACACTTGGGGTTCCCCCCAAAAAATAATCTGTTTCACCTTGAACATCCTTCAACAGTTCCCGGCTGCATCACTCCCAGGCATTGCTCAAGGCCAAAAATGAAGCAATGCCTCAACAATGCCCGCTGAGACCTGGCGGCGGACGTTTCCTGGACACCCGCGGTGGGTGTTTCCGCACGCCCCGGATCCGGTGGCGATCGATCTGTCCGGAGAGCCAGAGACGAGAGCCCCACAGCAGTTGACTAGTAGTAAGGCCAGGAGCCCCTATTTCGTAGCGTCCGCCGATCGCTCCGTTCGTAGCGATGCCCGACATGTTCCGTTCGTAGCGATTGACCTAGGAGATGTTGGTGTTGTTTTTTTGTTCAAAGAGGTGCCCTAGTCGGACCGGGAGGGAATTTGGTTTGTCACCGTACAGGACCGGATTGTCCTTTCCAAGGGGCGCTGTCACTGGAGATATGTCGAGTGTTGGCTGGAGAATCAATAGGTGGCTAGCTTTAGTTGATACCACTCTTGGGAAAGATCTTGTTCAATCCAAGAGTCATACATGCTCTATTGATTCTCCTTGGTGCATCACGGACCCACGATGGTCATACCAATGGAACAGGGACCTCATTGGTCTGTTCCTGAACCGTTCCACCCCAATACCGAGTCGAATCAAGCCTCTTGGCTGGCATAAAGCATAGTGCTCCCATGCTGCGTCTTGAACCTAGTCGTCACCAACGGGTGCGCAAACACTTGAAACATGGAACACATGGAACGCTCCACCAGCTCCAGGGCTGGTGTTAAGCATCCAATGCCTTCCATCGGAACCACTGACCTCTAAAAATAAAGGTCGTTTTTGGAGAACCACGTTTTTCTTTGGCTGACCTCTCTTTTTAGGGTCGCCGGATATGGGATGTAAAAAACCGGGTTTTTGGCACATGGGAAGATATCCATCCTGAAGACTGAGGTCTCCTGCCTATCTTTGGCAACCGTACAGGCCATGAAGGACCAAAATGATAGAACATGTGGATCGAAAGGACGACCATAACATCACCAAGACGCATGTGGCACAACACTTCACTTTGTTGTTCACTTTCCATGAGTCAAAGAACAAAATATGATGAGCCGCAAGGCTATCCAAGAGCCACATGAAAGCATGCTGCTAGTGCAAAGTCATGGTCCCATACCTTCCATGCAAGGGAACCTCTTGGCAACCCGCCGCGGATTGTTTTCTTTTTTTCGGTGCTTGCTTTGCTGGCATCTTCAGTCGGGAAGCCTGGCCCGAATCAGGGAAGCATCGGGAGAAGTTTGGAAATTAAAGTACATAGATGGAATCATTGAAGCATAAAAAGCTAGGACATCTATCGGGGTGCATGGATGCAAGGATGAAGATGGATGCATGCCTACACCCATGTTTGGCACAAGCTGTGACATCTCAAGCCCGTTGTTCACATCGATCTCGTGTTGAAACCATGACTGTGCGAGCTGACATTCAGGGTATGTGGAGGACGTGGTTCAAAGAGCCTGCTGTGCGTGCCACAGGTGTTGACCATGGCTACTTGATTGTAACCCATGAAGAGGCCACTCTGACCACCAACACCAATGCCGTGAGGGCTTGCATAAAGGATTGTGTCCGCAACAAATTTGTCCTTGCTCCAACTCTAAGTGCAATTAGCACCGCTGAGAACTACAAGCTCTTTCACTTGAAGGATGCTGTCCGGGAGTTCTTTGATTACAGTTTAGAAAATGTGTGTTTTTGAAGTCCTTGTAATTCACCGCAGCATCTCGATCGATATTCAATGTAGTAGCAACATCTCACGATCAACTATACCACCAAAAGTACTTTGACCTCAGACCTCCTGAAACGCGTGAAACGCATCCAGTACCCCAGCCTCGGCAGCTAAGGGTGAAGAAGTTCCGCGACCATATGCACCTGGCTCCCAGCAAACCGAGAACGAAAATGGATGCTTGGAACCTGAAGTCCCTGTGCAGCTTCATTAAAATGAAGACCAGGAAGAAGCTTGCTTCTCGTGTCCCTTGGCTTTCAAGTAATGCTTCTTCCAGGTACTCTAGGTACAAGCCCCCCGATGCAACTATCATATGGGGTCTTCATTGTGCTGTCTCAGAAGTCTATTTGGTGGATGTAAGGACCCTCACTTCTTGGAGCTCCAACGCATCCTGGATCCAACTCTCGAGGCAAATACGGTTTAAATGCTTCACAAAAAGTTTAATTGATAGAAGCATATATGAACTACTGCACGCATGCATAAATGAATTGTAAGTCGACTAGTTGATATAAGACTTGTTTATTTGCGATGTGTTTGCTGAAGTTGTAGTTGTTATGATGTCTAATCCACTCTCTCGAAGTCACAATGTTTGATGCTGTGTTAAACTAGATTGCATGTGCATGCATGTGTGGTTGTGTGAATTGTGTATTCTCAAATTTTTGGGGCTTGCAATAGGGTGTGGACAGATGTATTGAAACAATCACCCAGACATGATCACCTATGGTCTTTGTCGCAGGCTCCACCAAGCGTTACCGCTGCTATGGGTGCCGAGGAGGATGAGCCAGAGCCACCTTCTCAGGATGAGGACCAGGATGAGGACATGAATGATTCTCAGGAACAGGAAAAGGACATTGACGCTTTGCTTGACGAGATCTTGGCTGATGGTGATGATAATGACTCAGAGGCAGCAGCAGCTATGTTGCTTCATGATTTGGAGGGTGGGGGTGAGTTGCCTTCCAATGTGATTCCTGAATCACCACTGCCATATCTTGAAATGGAAATTCCGGAGCAAGAATCACAGCCACTTCATCCAGAATCGAGGCCACATGAACCTCAGTCCCCCGATGTGATTGAGTTGTTCGAAGATGACTGCGATGACAATGTGACGAAGAAGGGGGTGCCAGCAGATCGTCCTGTGGCCCGCCCACTGGTCAACCCGAAAGCCTTGGATTTTGATCCAGTTGAGGATGATGAATGCGTCATCACGAGTGCTCTGCCCAATCCTTCAGGTGGCTCACTGCCATCTAGCTCATCTAGCTCCATGACTTCCAAGCGCCAAGCCTTGGAATCTCTTCTGATGAGAATGCAGGAGCAGCTTGCGAAGATGGAAACTGATGATGTCCCTGCCAGGTTTTGTCCTCAGATTGTTCAGCATTTTTTGCAAGTCAACCCACTTTAGTTTAGAAAGATTGCACGCACGTGCTCTTGGCCCTCGTGCATGAAGTTGATGGAGGTTTCTTAATTTTCATGCATGTATAGTTCTCTTGAGCCTGCCTATGCCTGCACTTGTTGATTTGCAATGTGGATTGCATATGTTTCAATCCTGGAACCCTCCATTACTTACAATCGTGTTCCCGTGCACCAATGCTTTTTTGAAGACTTGAGGGGACTTAAGCCTTTGTTTCAGGTCAGCCCATCCAGTTGGAGATCAGAAAACTCCAGTTGAAGCTTCAGAGGTTTGGCAAGTGGCTGAGTCACTGCCATATGGTGGCGACAATGTTTGCACAGTTCCTATGGAACTTGAGGACGGTTGTGTTCCGGTGCATGTTGCCTTGCAGCTCAAGAGCGAGGATCAGAAGTTGCAGCCTCCGCCTTTAGTGAAGCCTACCTTGGCCTCAACTCCTGAAGCGCCTGCCACTCGTCTTTCTGGTGCATGTGCTGTGTTTGTGTGGCCGGGTATAGAAGCTAAAGCCAAAGCACATTACGCGCCTGCAAATTCATTTTGAATTGGTGCAATTTTTTATAAGATGTATCACTGATGTTGATCTCAACTGTTGTTTTTGGGTGGGCTAGCTTGCGCCTCATGCAGGTACTCACCCGACGGATGCAGTTGGGAGCTGGTGGGGGTGAAGTTCAGGAGAGCGGTGGCAAGTTGGAAGGACCTGCTCCGAAAGGCAAGGGGAAGGGGCGTGGACGAGGGCGAGGGCGAGGGAAATCTCTTGAAGGTCCTCCTCCTGATGCCGCAGCACCTACGATTGAAGTCAGAGCGCCGGTGGAACAATCGGCCAATGCACCACCTGAAGCACAGGCTTCAAGGCCAGCTGAGGCCCCAGCCCCAGTTGAAGCAGGGGCTCCACCCGCAGAACCGTCGCCCACACCAGCTGAACCATCGACTTCGAGGAAAAGGAAGGCTACTGCGAAGCCAAAGGCCAAGGCCAAAGCCAAGGCCGATGCCGCCCCGAAGCGCAAGGGTCGAAAGGTGCAGAGTGAACCTGTCAGTGCACCCAACAATGGTGGAGCTTCGGCGGCAGAGCCAGCAGAGCCTGTCGAGCCTCCTCACAATCCGGATGATCCAGTGCCTGCTTTGCCAGCTCCTGCACCTGAGGTGCCACCCATGCCTCAACCTGGTGGAGACCTGTCTCATATTCCCGCGAACAAGGTGCAAAGCATTCGTGAAGACATCGCGAACCTCCTCGCAGTGCCGGGCAGATGGGACTTTTTGCTCAAGCTTTTTGCAGCTATGTATGCAGAACCTACCCGGGCAACTCTTCCAAAGTTCACCCACTACACCTTGAGCGTCTACTGGGGAAAAGCACGGGTTGGCCTTGTTGAGAAGGCAGCCAAGAGGCATCTCCTCTCATTCAGCTCAAGTGGTTCAGGCCGGATTGGACTTCCATTGGAGGCTACATTGATGTATGTCAGGTTCTTAATTGTCTCTGTGCATGTGTGTGTGTACACGCATGTGTGAACGAGCTATTTTTATGGAGCTTTGGTAGTTGCTGTAGATGACTGCATTCATGATCATTACACCATGGGTGTGTGTTCGATCTCGCATTGTTCATGGGCTGTGCCACGCGGATCGTGCAGGTTCCACTGCATACATGAGTTAATTTCAAACACATATGATTGGCGCAATAGTTCATTTACCTCCTGTACAATTTATCCTAGCTGTTAACGCATTCCAATCAAGAACCTATAACTTAGAAACATCAAATGCCTTATGCTGCAAGTTGACTGAGGTGGCCCAATCTGGTGGTGATGTTGCCAACCAGGACCATGATTCAAGTGCAGAGTTCCGCGGCTTTCTTGCTGAAGCAATTCATGTGTGCGGAGACTTGTGGAAGTGGAAGGTGGCTCCACAGGATTTCACGGCTTGAGCAGCCAATTTGGCATTTTGTTTTGCATTCACCTCAGGGGTCATGTTTCAGAAACATTTTGAATGCAAATAAGCAATATGTGTAATTTTGTTGAGTTCACCTGTGAACTTTTGTTTTCAATCTTGGTGACCATACTGTGGTGATTTAGATTCTGAATGTGTGTGGAACAACACATTGAAGTGCTGCCGGGATAATAATATACGTGGGGAAATCCTCACGTTGATGCAGTACTGACTGCATCTGTGGCAACTAGATAATCGTATCTCAATTCGAAGCCGCTATCCATGACCTATGTGGTCCTAGAGCTAGAGCTTGTAAGGATCAGGCTGTTGCACGTGGTATTCATGAAGGGTGGCACTCTACTATAGCTAAAGTGAAATTGTTGATTTGGAAAAGACTTCTAATTGTTGTCGGGAACTGTCCTCTACCCATGTGCATTCATGCGGAGCATGTATATTTCAAGAATGATTTGGGCTATCCTGTTGTGTGCCACATAGTGTGCAATTGCCGGGGGTGCAAGCCACAAGTTAAGCTTGCTACGCACAAGCCATTGCCCGATCCATACGTCTTGGCGACAAGGATTTGAGAAAGGGATGTGAAAATAACAATGGTCAATTGTGCTGGGATCGTGTCTTTTTGTTAGCAGCGTTCTATGGCACGTGGCCCAACAAAGACTCACCACTTTTTGTTAACACAAAAAGGCACACGTGCACACACACACATGCAACCTACGTGCAAAACAAACAGTGCCACACATCCTTCTGGGATCCCCTTCATGTCGATCGGAACTGCCACTCCCACTTGCCTTCCCAGGTCTCATGGCAGCATGGCTTTGAAGCGGAAAGCCTGGGCGCTGCGTTTGGGGAGTCAAATTGACCCGGAGGGTCGTCCTGGCCGATCTTGAGCCGTTTCAGAGCTGGGTACATGGTTTGAGAGAGTCCAGCAATCTCCAACTTTTGTTGCATGAAAGCGAACCATGATCCACAACCTGTTTTGGATGCTAGCAATTGTAAATCGAGATGGGGTTGCATGCCAAAACCAAGTATCAAATTTGATCGTCGGCTTGTATAGCAATGAAACGTTGCTGCCTGTGTGAATCATAGCTGAGCTTGAAAGGCGTATTCCAAACTCTGGATTTTAAGACCTACAGCAAGAGACTGAGAGATCCACCGTTTGGTGCTTTCTTGTGGCAGCAACTTGAGCTCCGTAGCCTTTGTTGTGACACCTGTCTTGGTGTGGCAATGGCGGGTCGCCAGTGGTTTACTCTGGACCATGTGGTGTGGTCACTCACAAAGAGCAGAGCTCCTAAGGTGCACTCCTAGAAAAAGAACAATATGGGAGATGACAGGAGAAGCAGCAATAAATCTTGCAAACATACAAAACAGATTCCTGTCTCGACTTTGAACAATGTGTCGATCTATTCCGGAAAAACACGGGATGCAATCATCAAGAAGTGTACTACATGACAGCTGGTCTTGAGGGTTGACCAATTGACTTTGTGCAGCAGAAATGTCTTGACCATCCTTGGGATCACGTTAAATTAAAATAGATAGGTCGCTGCAGTCTTTTATCTTTTTCCTTTCCCCGGCACACCCAAAGGTAACCCAGTCCACCTGAGACTCCACACTTTCTTGGAGGTGCTGATCCTGGCGGTGCTTTTCCTCATGTGGTCGCAGAATGTCTTGGTTCTGCAGCAGGTGTCTTGTCCGTATTCCCAAGTCAATTGGTCCATGTAGGTGTGCGTGTATTGTACTGGCCTGTAGTGGAAGCAATATCAAACATGCTGAATTCTGCTAGTTTCAATATAGGGTATGGGATTTGGGGTTAGTCAGAAACTCAGACTGTGTGATCCAAGGACTTCACATTCTGCGAATTCTTCGCTGGCACTGGGGCTTGTTCCAGGGCAATGCGGGACGGTGGCTATGATGTGGCATCATTGGACATTGAATATTGGGATGCACCACACAAAAAACAGAATTTCATGGACATTCTCCAACCCGCTGGGATGGCGTTACTTGTCGGTGTTTCTTTATAGAACCCCCAATGAGCAGATTGGCTTCAAGAACAACATGACACAGTTCTGACCACAATGTGCGTTTGACACCATGGTTTTTACTTAAGGCTTGCCATCCTGACCATCTTGAACAGCAAGCCTGGGAACTTCGTGGTGCATCTGGGGGTGGTCTGTTCCTCGTGGATTCCAGTTAATCAGGGCACTTCCAAGAGACAAAAATGCCATCCTCTTGGGTGCCAAGATTTTGGATACATCCGTGATGCAAATATGATGGTTTCCAGATGGCTAGGCTAAGCAGAACTGTGTAGCGCCATTGGTTCCAAGTATAACATCAATTGCAAGTTGACCTACACATTTTGACAAACACATGTGATGACCCTTCCCTGACACTGCATGTTTAAACCTGAAACTCGATACGTTTTCTCATGCCCACTGAAGACTGTTGAGTGATGTGCACCGTAGATTGACTTTCACCTTACCTTGCAAGCCCACTCCCGATTCCCACGAAGTCTCCTCCTCAGGATTGCCATCCTGATATGGCTCATCGAAGCCCTGGGAGGTGTGTGGTGCGTGGAGCAACCATCGCAATCGCTTCTGCGGTGGCACCCCAGGATGATGCAGATTTTTCAAACCTTCCAGGTTCCCTAGCTGATGTATAAAAACATATGTGCCACAAATTGCGACAAAGGTTGACGACAACTGGGACAATTGCCGCACACACATGTAAAGTGGAACACCAATCAATTCCTGAAATCCTTGTCGTTAATCAATGGGATTTGTTGGTGTTATAGCTAGCTTGCTGCTCTGAATCAAACACAATTATTTATACTTCCTGTGTTTGACTTCTTTGTTCTCCTACACAGGTACAACCCAAAGTTCATGAGAGATTTGAACCATCTAACTGGATGTGTTTTGGGAGTTTGGAGAGGAACTCCACTGTGGCCCTAGGTCTATGCCGCACGGTGGTGGATGGCGGCCTACGGTGGCAAAACTCCAAAACGGCATGTCATGTACAGTAACTCAAAGGCCATCGGCGCCTTTGATCTGGGGAAGCTGTGCTTTAATTACCAGGACCCAGAATACCAACGAAACCGCACCACGAAGGTTGTTGTCAAAACCAAAGATGGTGTGGAGAAGAAATCCTTTCAAGGCGTCAAGAAAAAGCTCAAAGCTTCACAGTTTCTTGCAAACAAATTAGGTCAATTTTTTTGTATCCTATGCATCCACCAAATGGTACTATAGCCATTGTTGCCTCGACTACATGTTGCCAACTACATTACTCATAACTGGTTTCATTCGACTCGGTGTGTGTCAACCCACACTTTTCCCTCAACATTGGACATTAAAGCGGCGCAATGTATACATGCATGTTTTGGGCCATACCTGTGTTCTCTCGGCCTTGGTTGGTGTTTATATGGTGGTGGAATGAAACATGTGCCAAGCACATACTGCAGACACGGTTACTGCCACATATAGCTTGATGTCAGGGGAATTGAAAAAGGGAAAACCATTCTGGACCACAGCCCTCAATTCTTACCCCTCCAGCTCACCGCGGCTTCGATCCCGTTCGATCCAAGGCACTACCCCATGAAGTTCGGCATGAAGTATATGCGGATCCTTCCCAGGCTGCGGAAGGCTTGCAGGGCAATTCCAGAGACATTGCCCAAGGAGTTTGACGCTTGGGATTTCTATCGCCGCGAAAATTTTGACGACATGTGGCATGATGCCGACATGATGTCTGTCTTGGAGTACCTGAAAGGTAACTACAATTTGGTGATCCCACCAGATTGGCGTCCCATCCTGCTGTCTTAGGGCAGGGTGAGTGGCAGGGTGTTCTTTCTGAGCTGGATTACTAGCTCAGATCTTTAGGCAATTCATGTCGGAGTGTATGACCCTGGATGTGTTGAACACTTTTGGAACATTTCTGATACCTTCCATAGTCACTAGGCGTATAACCAGGTTTTTTGATCCTAATGACCCGTAAAAAAATACGTACCCGTAAAAAACCCGTGGATTTCCGTAAACGACCCATAAAAACCCGTAATTTTTTACGTATTTTTCCCGTAATCCGCCCGTAATTCCAACATCGGGTTTTTACAGAGTTGACCTTGTTTTGTCAGATAACAGGGCTTGCCAGGGGCTTCCGATTGCATTTGGAACTTAGATGCTGTCCAATCACTAAAGGTTGAAGGGTCTCAAGCACGTTGAAAAAGGTGTATGCGATGCTGGCTTTAAGTGTTGCTGCAAACATGGACTTGTGTGTTGACAGCAAATAGACTTGGAGTTTCCATCAGCGTCTCACACCTCTTGCAATGCTTGTTTCTCTTGCAGCACAGCACTTCGGTATAGTGATTGGCCCTGTTGACTCCTCTTGTCATGTCGTTCTCTCGTTTGCGCAGTGGTGTTTGGAGCTGTTCTGAGCTCCAAGAGGGCAACGAAGCTTTGCTTGCTGTCAAGAATGAAGAAGTCGCCACATCAGCTACCAAGACAGCCTTGCTCAGCAAGATGAAGGCGTGTTGCCTGTTTGTAGATGGCAGTTTCTTCCCATCCATATTCCATCGTGAAAAAGTGTTTGACCCTTGAAGGCTTTGCAGAAGGAGCTTGATGCGATGCATCATGAGGACACATGTGTGCATCAATTGAAATCCTTGTTGCACACCACAATTAATTCGACTAACATGTGCTTTGTAGGCACCGTTCCAACTCCACACACGCTGCCCCAGAATTCCCTCATTGGATCATGGTCCAGGAACACCCTGAAGAGGTTGAGAACGACACTTTACCAGCGTCTTGACACAAAGGTTTGGTGGATCTGTGTGGGCGCCTCTAAGTATTGGACTCTCATGCCTGTTCAGGGTGCACACTCCTTCCCAAAAATGCCTTCCCGCATCCTCATTGTACTCCCTGCAATGGGTGCTGACATACATGCACACGAGTATTGAGGTCATGTTGTGTGGTACAGTGATTGCAAGTTCAGGATATTATACTGCGAACGGATGGAAAGGTGTGCCCTGGCCCCGTTCTAGCTCTTAGGTCAACATGAAGCTCGCGCGCTAAAGCTCCTTTTTACCTGGTTGGGCACTTGAGCCAAAAGTATATGGCATGTACCTGTATAGCGACTATACTGGGACCCCATCCCTATTGACACCCCCCACATCCGTACTTCGACGGGGAAGGGAGATGAGTGGATGTAAAGATCGGAGAACGAACCACGTTCTCAAAAGTGCATTGGAGGTCAACCAGTATGTCCTATTGAACTGAATTAGCAAAATATCCTGCATTCGCTTGAAAGTCGGATCAAACAGGCAATGGAGCTACAAGCGGAAAACGTGCACCTACCTATGGTATCATGCGATTACCAACGGTGTGATACGTAATCCTATCTCACTCCCATGATGCCAAAACGGTCATCATGAATTACCCAAGATCCCTCAGTACATAAAGTACCGGCAGTGGTATGTCGGCATGACCCCAATGCTCAACCATTCGTGAGTTGTCGCATGTAGTCAGCGCCGACAAAGCCAATGTAGTCCTTGATGAGCTCAACGTTCCTTGGGTTTCCCGCTCGGATCTGGTCCTCGAAGAGCTTCAATTTCCTTTCCTGGACATCGGATACCTCTATGCCATAGTAGC